CACAGACGGGGTAAAGGTGGATTATCACTTACAGCGTAATCAGTCAGGGGATTCTGCAGACTGTTGAGGGTTCAGCCTCTAGTGATTGATGAGTCGGTGAAACTCCGACGAAACAGTTTGTCACAGCCGTTCGTTTGTTGTCTTCTTCTCCCTCTCTGCCTACGGTTTACGGGGCAGCTCTGTTTGACTATGTATGCGTATTATATAACATATATGCATTAAATATGTAAGACAACCAGTTTTTGGCTCTTGGGGGCAAGGTCACTGGTTCGAATCTGTGCCTAGATGTATGGATCTATACTTACTGTGTTATTACCACCCAATATTCTGTTTGCAGCAATTTGAACTTCAAAGTTATGACTATGGATATAAACTGACAAGATTCAAAGAAAACAAGAAGTTATAACTACAGATATCAAATTAAATTTAGTAATCAAAGAGAATATAAGATCCAAAAGAAAGAAATAGCTTGTGGAATGCTGCCCATCTGCGGCCTGAGACATCTGACATACATAGGCTGATCAGATGAAAGCGGCCAACTGCTTTCATTGTGTCCCCCACCCCACTCTTTCTCATCAATTTCCTCACCTTTTTTTTTTACAATAGCGAAACATCATCTGGGCCCCATCCTAGAAGTTCTGTTGGAGTCTGTAGAACTCAAAAATGTACAGAGTTACCATATTGGTTGACATAGAGGAGGTAGCACTGCTAGTATCATCATGAGGATCTGGCGGCCATTTTCTGGCTGAAGAGGCAGCCCTCCCCACTATCCACATTTCTTGTTTTCTGGAAAATGTATCAGCATCATATGTATGAGGACGCTGGACCCGTTTTCCAGCAGGTGCAGCTCCCCACCAATAGACTGGAGCTTTTAACTGGGCTGTTAGTGGTGGTTGCTCATACCAACATCACTAACAGTCTCAGTCTCTTAAAAAAAAAAAAAAAAAAAAAAAAAAAATCTGGGCCCCATTCCCAGGAGGAAGTGATACGAGCAGCCTCCGGGGGCTGGTGTACCCACTGTTTGATGAAGTCCAACTTCGATCTCCTCAGTGTCCTCACCTTAAAAAAGAAATGATGTTTTCAAGGGATGCTGGACCCGGTTTCCAGCAGGTGATGCTCCCCAGAGTCCCCACCAATAGATGGAGCGGCCCACCAGGCAAAGCCTCAATTCCGGTGGTTCTCTTACCACCACTGGGATAGAGGCCTTGCACAAGGGCCTTTGTTGTTTTTTAAAAAAAAAAAAAAAAAAAAAAAAAAAAAAAAAAAAAAAAAAAAAAAAAAAAAAAAAAAAAAAAAAGAAGAAGATCTCCTCACCTGACATGCTTCTGCAGTTGTGGGTCATAAGGCTTTCTCAACTGCAATACTCTTGCCTTCTCCAAAAGGGCGGCCCTCTTTGCTTCAAGGTTCTTCTGGACTTCTCCTGCAACACTGCATCGGAGATGGAGAATATGTAAAATAACAAATTTAAAAGAAAGATGGAAAGAACATATACATGTCATGAGGTCAGACCATCAGTCTGCGTCAGAGTCTGACTGAATCACTGCACTTGGCACATATTAGAGGCAAGACAACAGGTCTCAAAAAAAAAGTGAAACGGAGAGAAACACCGTGGAACAAGTGCTCATGAGGAAATTTGAAACCTTGTAACCAAAACCAAATCTTTTTTTTTTTTTTTTTTTTTAAACGAACCCTCCTGTGTTAGCGATGCTGGTAAAAACAGACACCGCTAGCACCTGGGGAAAGGCTCCATCTATTGGTGGGGAGCATCACCTGCTGGAAACCAGGTCCAGCGTATCTTATGAGAAGGTTACAATCGGAATGCAATCAAAGAACATCAGTAAAAAGAAACATCAGAAAAACTGTGGGAACAGCCTGCCAGTATTGATTGCCCTGCAGATCAGGGGATTGACTGAGCAGGGTGGGGCAGGGTGGAGCCTCTTCACCCAATTTTTGGCGCCAGATTCCTGCTATTACTTACTAGCTCCCTCCTCCCTTAGCTAAGATATTCTCTATCCTGAGAAATCCCCTCCTGCTGTAGTTGAAGATGGCCTCTTCGCTCTCGAAGGGGCGCCGGATGATGTCTTTCTTGTCTAGCCATTTCATTAGTAACCCTGGAAGGCAGGATTGGGGGTAGGGACAGCATACGAGTGGGTCTTTGGATCAGAAAATACTGAGGTATTGGTACCAGGCTCGGGAACCTTTGGGTCAGGGAATCATTCAAGTGAATCCCTCCCGTACCAGGACAATGGAACCAGTGCGTTCTGGGGTACTGGGAAGAGACTTGGGAAATCGGTGGCAGGGAGCAGAGGGATTGAGGGATCTACCTGAGTCCAATCATTAAATTTCAACTTGCAGTTCCTATTGAGGACTTGTTCCTCTTCCGTCTCATCATCCTCCCATTCCACCCTCCCTATTTTTCCCCTTTTTTTCCCCGCCAGCCAGTTACTGCTGAATTGTTGGAGTAATTTAGAAATTTCTTTCTTGGATGAGTTGAATTGAATTGTTTTTTTTAGGCTTGTCCATTTATCCTGTATGTGAGTTTGAATCTGTTGTTTGATCTTATCATTAAATTCTGGACCATCTAATCTAGCGTTCTCCCATTCATATGTGTTCCTTCTTTGCCAAATGGCCCAAAGTACTGCTTTTCTTCCTAGGGAGAAAAGATTCTGGGTGAAACTATCCTCTGGTTCAGGAGACCAGTGTTCCAGTAGGATTGCTTTCCATCCCCATGGCCATTCATGTCTTGTTTCTAATTGTTTCCAGATTCGGTCCCACCAACGCCATAGCCAAATGGAACCAAGACATTCGAGAAAGATGTGCTCGATTGTTTCCGGTATCTTCCTACTTGGGTACGCAGATCGGCAGAGTTTGCACCAAGGGTCAGTCGTACCTCTTTTTTCCAGGGAGGATCTATCTGCTAACCAGTCATTTGTGGGAAGGCACCGGTGTTCTATCTGCCATTGAAGAGAGGCTACCTTCGAAGGTTTAATCTTGGGATTCTTGAACCATTTGATATTTCTGAGATCTACCTTATTAATTTTCAGGTGCTTCATCCATCTTTCTTCCACCCTGTCTTTCAGGTTGAGCCTGGGTCTGAGCATCCGGTAAGTCGATTTAACCCATAGAGTATGTAGGTGTCTGCTGAAGTTCCTGTTGAACTTGTTTTTTGTTCCCCACGACCAGTATACCGGGTCGAAAGGCAGATCTGAGATGGGTGTGGATAATCTGAAGGCGAGGTATGACTGTGCATCTAGTAGGAGGACTCTGATTCTAAAGATATTCCCCACTGGTATCCAAACTGGGGCAAGATCTTTGTTGAGGGTTAGTGTATTGTCTTCCCTTAATACCCTTGGGGCAATTAGTGCCTCCTTGTCAGGGGATATGAGGATGATGTTTCCTACGTTTCGTGGTTCATCAATCGTCGCCACCCAATCACTTTCCTGAAGTTTCCTCCCTCTCTTGAGCACTCTGAACCAGTCAATGGGAATGAGTTCCACAATTTTTTCTAATTTTTTTTGTGTATTGTGGCAATGTTTTAATTTCTTTTGAAGGATGAGAGTGGAGATCTAATCCCCAGACTCATCGTCCCAAATGTGTCTGATCCTGGTTACCCCTCTATTTATCCAGTTCTTCCATGGGTCATCATTACAATGTAATGTAGTACCATGATGGTCCCTGATCCACGTATTGTTGAAGAGTGGTTGCTGGTTGATTTCCTCCCACCTACTGGGGAAGTGTTTATCTGGTCTAGGTAGTTTCCTCTAGGTCTTGAGAATGGTAGGCCACAATGAGTCATTAATGATATTTTTCCTTGCTGCTTCCCTGCTGGTCCTTAGGTTTGGGTCTACCTCTTTGGACGTACCTTTGGGGATCGGCCATTCCCTGTTTTCTAGCCATATAGCAGGGTCTATGTCCTCCCTTGTCTGAGGAGCCAGTCTTCTCAATTGCTCCCAGGCTAGGCCGTTCCATGGAGTTTGAGGATTGAGTAATAATATCTTCACCCATTGGATTGAGAGTGCCATGGTCTAGAGTGTTGGATCAATAATGCCCAACCCTCCCTTTGATCTTGGTTGGATAACTGAGGACCAGGCCACTCTTTTTTTTTTTTTTTTTTTTTAACAAGCCGAGAGAGTGCTAGGGGTGCTGGTAAGAGCAGACACCGCTAGCACTCTCTGGGAGGCTCCATCTATTGGTGGGGAGCATCATCTGCTGGAAACCGGGTCCAGCGTCCCTTCTTTTACATCTCCTCGGAAATGCCTTAAGTTTGAGTAAGACAGAAAAGAGTAAGAAGACACGGTTAGAAAAAATGAGAAAAGATGCGAGAAAATGAGAGAAATTGAGAAAAAAATTAGGAAGAGAATTTAGGCAGAAAGAGCAAGATGTCTGAGGTATCCGTGGCACAACCATCTGCTCTAAGGGATCTGGGGACGAGAACCAGGCAGGACCACTGGGGGGCACCAGCGAGTCCGTTCTTTTTTTGTCTCTTTGATTCCCACCTTCTACAGTTTCCTGTGACGGACCTCTAGAGCCTGACTTCCATTGCCAAGGGATGGGGGGGAAAGGGATCTGGGAAGAACTCTGGGCACCGCATGGGGATGCTGGGGTCATTTGATGTCCAGTCTTTGAAGGTGAGATAGTAGTCTTGTGGGACAGAAGCCCGTTGGTCCTCTTCTTCTGCCTGCCCATCACAGTCGATGTCGCCCGACCAATGCACGCTAGCCACCCATCCTTCTCTTGGACCACCCAGCCATTCGTTGGCAAATTTGGAGATCTTCTCTGATATGTCTTTGGGCCTCTGGTATGTGTCCAAGACTTGTTTCGTTTCCCGCCATCTCTGCATAATCTCAAGTTGAAAACAATTTTTAAATTGTTCCTTCCTTTCCTCCCCTTCGACTCTGACACCCTCCATTGTCATCGCGCAGCGCTGCCACCATAGAACCTAGAGTACCGACCTTCTTGCCAGAGCAAACATGTTCCTTGCATAGGTTGAGTCCTGCAGGCCTGGGTAGTGGCCCAGAAGAATCGCTCTCGAGTCTCATGGCCATGGTTGGTCTGGAATCATCTGTCTCCACACCCTCTCCCACCACCTCCATGTTAGGACTGCCGACGGACATTGCAGGAAAACATGTTCGATTGTTTCAATTCTTCGTTGGGACGGGAAGCTTTTGAGGCAGCGAGAACACCATGGATGAGCCCGTCCTTGTTGTTCCAACTTAGTATGGTCAATTATCCAGTTGTTCGTTGGGAGATAGCGGTGGGCAATCTGCCACTGAAGGGATGTAATTTTGGCCGGTTTGCACTTGTTGTTCCGAAACCATTTTATAGGTCACTCTAGTAATTACATTCTTAAATTCGTGATTTCCTCTCCACAAGAAGGCTCGAAGCTGTTGATGAAGAGATTTTGTCCATTTACCATCAAGGGCCCAAATTGCGGATTTATATCAAATGGAAGCTAGGATTACATTATTGATTACTAAGGCTCTGCCCATTATCGATGTGTGTTTATTCTTCCAAAGTTCCAGTTTGGTTTGAGCACTTTGAAATATAATTTCATCGTTGATTTTGGGTTTCCCTTCCGCGGCCAAATCAAGGATCCCAAACAAAAGGAAAATAAAATGAAGGAATTTGGATCAGCATGCTCAACCCCATCATACACCGCCTCAGCCTTGCAGTCCGAAAGTTGTCTCCACAAGAAAACGAGGCCGAAACATCAAACGCTGGGCGTCCAGCCAATGATATATTGGATCGGCGGTCTCTTTTACGTTTCACGCGTCCAGAATTCAAGGTGTCAGGCCCGCGGCCCAGATAGCCGTGCACTGGTGCTTTGAACCACCAGTACACCCGGGCCTAGAGGCGCCTTACTGCGGCCCAAGCTTTTCCCAACCGCCAGCAGCGGCGCACATTCTTTTTTTTTTGGCTGGCGTCGCCAACCATTGTGGTCCGGTAGGTCGACCCTCCTTAATTTTTGTAGGCGATGAGTTGCATTTGCAGCAAGGCTGGGGAAGTGTACTTGCGGTTTAAGCCACCAGTACTCCCGAGGCACTTTTTGCCCAGTCTGGAAACGGCCTGTGCGCCAATAAAAAATGAACTGGCGCAAGCCTCCTTTTGGCTGGTGTTGCCAACCAGTTTGCTCCGGAAGAGAGACCCTAAAGTTGCGGCAGCATGCAAGCTTCAACTCTGAAAAAATACCTGGGAAGCGTACTGGTAGTTTTACTGTGGTGGAGGACATAATGTGCCAAAATTGAAAACCGGGATGATCATCATGCATAAGGCACACCAGTATGCACAACTGAACCGGAATGGCTGATCACCGAATTGAAGACGCAGATTGCAAAGGATGAACGGGAAGTGTCTTAGGAACAGGGAGTTCGGCTGGTCTTTGTGGACTGGATTCCTGTTCCACCCATTCAGACTACTCTCCACCCATT